CCTGCCTTGGCACACAGCGCAGCTCTCCTGTGAGTCAGCAAGAGCCTCTGGTGCTGTGACTCATCCTTCCCCAGGTTATTCAGGCTTAGATGCAGTTTTGATAAAAGAACAAGGTAAGTTGTTACAGCTAGCTCACTAAACTCTTCGTTTGGTAATCTGTCACCCCAGAGTTTTCCAGTTCCTGCCATAGAGACTATGGAAGCCCTGCTGGATGTATAAGTAGGCACTCAAATAATAACGAATGACAAAGGCAAATTTTATAACTGATTCTTCAAGCAGTTTGAAGGAAAGGGTAAGAGAAAGGCTATGGGCTTTTGAGTCTGTTAGACTGGCGTTTGAACCACAGCTTACTATGGGCGCGATTCTTATTTTTTCTGGGTCTCGGTTTCCATTTCTGTAAATGGGGACAATAATATACCTCGTATGGCTCTCTTGATAGAATTCAACATGCACACACACCTTGCAGAGTGCCAGGCACGCAGTCAGCATTTCTGCCTTTTGAAGTGGGTGATGGTACTTCCACAATCAAAGCACATGCGCTAGGCTGCCTCACAAACGAGGACTGGCAACGTGCTTGCTGTGGCCTTCCCAGGGCATGATATAGATTCAGAATTTGTCCTGCTGTTTTTCTGTTTCACTCCATTGTGGCTAAGGAAGTGCAATAAAGCCATAACGCTTTAGATTAGTTTCAGGCAGGCTTATAAAATATGGAAACATTCAGGAACCAGAAGATTCTTAAATCTGCTGGGGACTAATACAGAGGCACCAAAGAGATTTAAGAAAAAAAAAAGGTAAATGTGTAATATAGCTTGGAAGCCATCAATAGAGTCAGACTTGACTTATTATTCATGTTTATGTGAGAAGAATCTTATAGATGATGTTCAGGATGACAAGAAGCGGTTTCAGAGCTGGACACTTAAGGTTTCCTGGGCCACACCAGCCTTCCCACGTTCTCCTGCTACATCTTCATATGTTGGGAGACTGAAAGTCTGTGGATATCAGGAAGGAGTGTGTGTGTGTGTGTGTGTGTGTGTGTGTGTGTGTGTGTGTGTATTTCAGGCTGGGGTTGGCAGTATTTTTCATTTAAGAAAGGGAAAAATTTAAGAGTAGATTAATTATTAACTGCTTTGTATCCTATTCAAAACTTCATGTTCTGCTCTGTTGTGCTTTGTCATGTTGTCTTGCAATTATACCACTAGAGAACTTGATCTGGACCCTGTATATAATATCTCTGGGTCACCAAATAATGTATAGCTACTTGAGCAATTTGAGAAATCACTATTACTTGCTGTTATTGTTTTTACCAAGAAATCAACAAGCAATCTTTAAAACAAACAAAAAGCATCAGAACTGTATCTGGATCTCACTTCAGTATACAAGCATTTTTTAGCAGATTATTTAAGGGCTGGTATCAGCTGGGTGGTCTTTTTTATTGTATTTTCTTTTCCAAAGTTAATTGGCTATAAATTCACTTTTTAAAATCTTGCTATATATCTAGGCTTAACATAAGGAAAAGAAAAAAATAGCCTATTATCTGACATTATGACATCATCATTAAGATTCATTAGTAGTCAAACTGTACCTATATCCTAAACTTATAAGTTCTGCTGTCACTTATAAACAGTTGCATAAGAATGTATAAGATTAGAAATTTTCTATTAAAAAGAGAGCTTTAAATTGATCCTCTGTCTTACTTTTAAGTAGCTAAATGATTGTGAAATTTCAAATGACTCTGGTCATATAAGACAAATTCCATGAAGTCTGTCACAGTTTCAGAAATTAAGTGATCTAACATTTTGGGAGATTCTAAATGCTTATGTATATTTTTACGTCAATAATAAAATTAAAAAGTAGGCTGGGTGGGTGGCTCACACCTGGAATCCTAGCACTTAGGGAGGCTGAGGCAGGGGGATTGCTTGAGCCCAGGAGTTTGAGGTTGTAGTGAGCTATTATGCCAACACGGCACTCTAGCCGGGGTGACAAAGTGAGACCCTGAACTCAAGAAAAAAATAGTAGTAAAAATTAGAAAAAAAAAGTAATGAAGTATTACTATTTGTATTTGAAAGAATGTATGCTATTAGGGTTGATATGATAGTTTTATGAGTTTTCAGATGACGTCTATTTCTGGATGCAGTGAATATGGACCAAATAACAACCAGGAGGAGGCAGGTTATCAGTGCATGCTCCCAGAGTAGTTTTCCTGCCTATGAACATCCTGAAAAATCTAGCACAAGGCTAGTTTCCTGATGTTAGAGTGTAAGAAATGCTAGAATTGAGGGAAAAACAAATCTGTTGGGTGAAGGAGCATACTAGGAATCTCAAACCTAGGAACCTTCAGGTTGGGGAGAGGATCAACATGATTTTATTTAATATTGGATATTTTTAAGGATTTTAGAAATAAAAATTTAGTGTAAGTATGAAACCATCCATAACAAAAAAAAATAAAAATAAGGGAATTATAGAAACAGGTCATACGAAATTGATCCCAAATTCATCTCTTAGGTTCACACCAGGATCAATGCTATAGACATCTTTCCTATTTAAGTCCTCCTGGAGAACAAATTGCAAAAACTATCAGCTGCTCCCTGCAACATCAATCAGCTATTACTGTTAGAAAGTGCTTCTTATTATCTAGCCTCATATCTTATGGTGCATGTTGAAAACTTTTTTTGGGGGGTAGTTGTTTATTAAGAATAAAATCAGCAAATTCCAACATTCATGGGGTGAGAAGAAATCACTGAAAAGAAAATGTTTTAAATATTGTTGAGGGTACATTTCCATAAGTGGCGAACTTACTTAAATATTCTTGGTAGTGTCCTCCATAATGGATTTAGAACAAACAATATATCTCAGGACATAGCTGAGTGCCTGACAATCACTGCACATGCTCGTCTGTAAGCCAGTAACTTCAAAGACTGTGCGTTAAGTGATACCTTCACAGAATCCAATAGATCAATGTGAACTTGTATGTATGTAATAAAAACAGCAAAATAAGAATGTCTAACTGGAAGCACACAATTACTCTTATGCTTAATCCCTTTTATAAAAAAAATATGGAGGAGGCATGTGCTAATAGGGCGGGCTTGGGGTTCATAAAAGTACCGAACTATTCTTTAACTCTGAGAGCTATCATATATCAAGGAAAAAAGAAAACATTTATGTGCAGCATTGGGGTTTTGTGTTCTGTGATGGCCTTGTCTGTACACTAACCTTGTCTGTGGACGAATGCTTCACATCTGCTGCTACCTCGCTGGCATACACAGCAGTGGAACAGCACTGTCTATAAAGTGTTACAGTTCCCTCAGAAAACACCACATAAATATCTGGTAAGGCATAATTTTCATTATACAGAGCAGAAGCCAAAAATCTCTTGCCAAAGCAATCCTCTAAAATTTTACACCTATTTCATGCATTAAAAAAGAAATATGTATCATATGCTTTCACTTATTTTACGATTAGCTCATCAAGTTTGTGTTCTGTGGAGCTGGAAAGCCAAAAAGCCTTGTGTCTTCTCTCAAGACCCTTCCTCAGCCACTATGCCTTTCTCTTCTTCCAGAATTGTTTTAAAAAGATCTGGTCTTACAGGCTCTCAAAAGTAAAATTAAATTCAAACTCAATAATAGTAACTATCATTTGTGTTGATCTTTGAAGGTTACTAAGTGTTTTCACATAATCTCATTTGATTCTCACAACCACTCTGTGAGGTCAGCAAGGCTGGGAGTAATATTCCCATTTTACAGTTTGGGAAACTGAGATTCAGCGAAGAAAGGCTTCATGACTTGATTCAAATTACTGAGTTAATAGCTAGCAGAACCAGGTCTTGAACCTAAGTCTGGCTCAATTCAGTAATACTCCTTCTACTCTACCCCGGCTGCTTGTGGTAGACAGAACTCTAAAATGATCCCTGGTGACCCTCACCTTTATGTAATCTCCTCTCCTGGCGTGTCCGTGGAAACTCCAAATACAATGAGATATCACGCCTGTGATTATGTTACATTATACGGCAAAAGGGATTTTGCAGATGTAATCAAGTTCCCAAATCAGTTGACCTTAAGATAAGGAGATAGCCTGACCTAATCGTATGAGCTCTTAAAATAATGGGTCTAGAGCAGGAGTCCTCAAACTATGGCCCACGGGCCACACGCGGCCTGCTGAGGACATTTATCCAGCCCGCCGGGTGTTTTTGCTGCCGCTGCCCTCCAACAGTCTGAGGGACAGTGAACTGGCCCCCCGTTTAAAAAGTTTGAGGACCCCTGGGCTAGAGGTCAGAGAGACAGAAGTCAGAGAGATTGGAAGCATGAGAGGGATTCGATGTGAGGGAGATTCTCCGTCGGTGGCTTTGATGGTGAAAAGGTCTCTAGGGCAAGGAACGTGGGCAGTTCATAGGAGCTGAGAGCCGGCCCGGCTGACAGCCAGCAGGGCGAGGGCGCTTTCAGTTTTACAACTGCAAGGAACTGAATTCAACTAATAACCTGATGAATTAGTTTGGAAACTGACTCTTCTCCTGAGCCTCCAGATGAGAGCCCAGGCTGGCCAACAGCACAATTTCAGCCTTGTGAACCTGTGAGAAGAAAACCCAGTCACACTGAGCCGAACTTCTGACCTACGGAACTGTGGCATAATAAATGGCTGTTGTTTTAAGCTGTTAAATTTGTACTAATTTGCCATGCAGCAATAGAAAACTAATAAACTGCTGCTCATAAATATTTATTGCAACATTATTACATGTAACATGCTAATTTTTTTATTTCTGATCACTTTATTTTGTGCCCATGTCTAGGTGGTTAGTTAAAAAAAAAAAAAAAGCAGCTCAAGCTTGCTGTAGTAAATTAATAAATATTTCTCTTTCCTTGTGGGAATATAGGGAATTACCATCCTTGTCCCCTTGAAGGTAAGCAGGACTATGTCCCTTATTCTGACCAATGAAAAAGAGGAAAACTGACATATATCTCTTCTGAGACAATGGCTTGAATTCTCCACATTCTCTTGCCCTGTTGCAGCCAACCCTAAAACTCTGGATGAGGACGCAGTGTCAGAGGATGGGCACGCCCTGTGAGCCCGGATCTAGGGAGCAGAACCCCCTACCAATCTACTTTGGGTGCATCTGCCCTGACTGACACATTTGCCTTGAAGGTATCAGAGCAACATGCTATACTGAGTTTCATCAACACTGACTGCCACTCAGCTACACATTAGCAATGAAAGCCATGTCCTCTGTTCCCAGGACCTTTTGCTGAATGCTTTTTGAATAAGAAAAAATAGAACTTTACTTACCATTATTTTTCCCTCCAAGTAGGTTAGAAGTGGGATAAGTCTGAGCAGATAAGGAAAACAAGAAAGAGCAGACAGTGCTCTGACTGAGCTGTGATTATTGAGTGCCTACTAACTAGAAACTGTAGGGTCTCCAATATCTGAAAAGACAGACCCACTTTCCATAAGATGTTGACACCCAAAGTCAGTCATTAGTTTACTAAAGAGTTGAAATGAAGAAATCATCTAACTTAAATATTTCAAGGTGTTTCTGTTCTCTAGATTTGCTAGAACACATTATCCTAATTTGGGAGAAGGAAAGCAAGGCTGTAAGTAAACTATTGTGTGGGTTTTCACATTTCATATTTCTGTTTTATTTCTGCAAAAAACCTAGAGAATAGGTATACATAGTAGCTAAGTTAAAGAAGCAATTTTTATTTATATACTGGACTATGGTCACTAATAAATGTAACAAAAATTTTTACTTTGCAACTATCCTTACAATCATTCATCAGCTATTCTTTTATAAAAGAGTAATATTAGCTAAAATACTTCCTGTTGAGATAGCCATTAAGGTCTAAGATTTTAAGTGAGCCACATTGAATAAGTTGGTCTCCTTAACCATACACAGCAGCATATTTTGAAAATAAAGCATTTTTTGGGGTGGGGGGTAAATTCCATAAAGCTGCTAACAAGTAGAGGTCAAAGTGAACATCTGTCAAAAACATTATTTCAAGAAGTTTTGATACAAAGCAGGGAATTTCTACATAACATTTAAGCTCTTGGTTTCTAGTCTTATCCCATCATCACTATTTTTTCCATTTATTGACTAATCATATGAATCTACTCTGTAAGAAGTTTCTTTCATCCGTTTGTGAAGTTTTTCAAGGATATTTTTTCGCAAACTGAACTACTTAGAGGATTTCTTTAGAAACGTCGGGAAATTTCTAGAAATCAAAAGGAAATAGGACTTTTTAAAAAGTTTACTTCTCTTAAAGTATGAAAGGAGAAAGATAATTTTTAAAATGTGGTTTGGTTTTCTTTTTAATTTTGCAAATCACTTTTTTTACATTTTAACTCATTCTGAAGGGATTGCAAGTTGAATATCCTTCAAGGGCTCCCCCACTCTCTCTGTCTCTCTCTTTCTCACTCTCTCACATAAAATTGGCATCTTGAACAGAATGTGTAATTTCCATGGGAAAATAATATTAATTAATGAAGTGAGAGTAGATCGTGAACTATGAAGATCCTCCTGACTCCAACTGCAGCGAACCTTTGTTTGGGGTTAGGAATGACCCTTACCAAAACCAGTGTCTCAACCTGGGTTAGGGGGAAGTGTGCCTTGGGAGGGTGGAGGAAGGTAGACTACATAAAACTAGTCTGGAACCCCATGAAGTTTTCCATCCTTCCCCCACTGCCATATTCAATTTCTTCATCAGCTTGTTAATTTCAAACTAATAAGATTTTTTTCTTATATGAGCAAATTTTCTCTTCAGAAAATACATGCAGCAACTAATTCCAATCTGGCCATGAAACAAGAGTGCCATTGAAGGCATAAAGGCGCCAAGTTTTTAAGTGTGAGTTTTTTCCTTTTCTCCACAAAAGAAACATACATTTAGGATTTCTTTATTTAAAGACATGCCCGCCCACAAACATCTGAGAAACATCTGTAGACAAAATGCCAAAATGCATAGTCGAATTTTGACTCACACCTCACCACCCACCAAGACCCCTGTCAACTCACAATAAACACCTTTCTAGCATCTGCCCCAGAGAAAGAAACGCCACATTACCCAAAGGTCAGAGCAAACAGATGTCACTTATTGCAGACCCTAATCATATCCATATCCAACCTTAGGAGGCCTGCAGTAGAAGCCGACTTCTGGACCATGGGTTCCTCCAGTTGGAGATGCTTATCCTTGTGTTCGCCCTCCCTCTGACTTGAGCAAGGGGGGCCTTGGGAGGGGTTATCTCTAGGGGCTGTCCCTCATCCTGCTGACAGAGCCATGATTGAGCACCGGGGTTAGGAAAGCAGCGTGGAATTTTTCATGGTTGGCCTGCATCATAGCAGTCTTCCTATTTCTCACTCTGACAGGCTTGCAGTATTCTTGCAATGTGCTGCTGCATCAACCTCCCTGACTGTCTGTGGAAGATACAGGACTACGCTTCTCTGTTCTCATTGCTCTCTGAACACATACATCTCTGTGTCGCCTTTTATAGCCCTCATTATGTTCAACAGTATCAGTTTACATCTCTGAGCCCCACAAGACTGAGTTTCAATTAGAGGGAAAAAAAGGAATGAAAGAATGAAGGAAAGGAAGGAAAGAAGAAAGGAAGGAAGAAAGGGGAGGGAGGGAGGAAGGAATGGAGGGAGGAAGAGGAGGATATGGGGTTTATATGAAAATGTTTAATAGATAATATTGACAGTGAAATTTAGTGGGTTTTTAAAAAATGGATAAAGGGTGAGAATGTGTTGTGAGATGTATATACACAATAGAATATTTTTTTAAATTCAGCCATAAAAATTTAGGAAATCCTGCCATTTGAGACAACGTGGATGAACATGGAAGACATTATACTAAATGAAATAAGATAAACACAGAAAAGCAAATACTATATGATATGTAGAATCTAAAAAGTCTGGACTCATAGAAGCAGAGAGTAGAGTAATGGTTGCTATAGGCTGGAGGGAGAATGGGGAAATGTTGGTCAAATGGTACCAACTTTTATATATAAGATGATTAAATTCTGGGAATCTAACATATAGCAAGGTGACTATAATTAATAATACTGTATTATATACTTGAAATTGCTAAGAGAATAGATCTTAAGTGTTCTCATCAGACACCGACACACATAAGATAATATGTGAGGTGACAGATGAGTTCATTAATTTGATTGTGGTAAACATTTCACAGTATATACATCTATCAAATTATCATCTTGTATACCTTAAATATATGCAATTTTAATTTTTCAATTATATCTCAGTAAAGCTGAAAAATTAATTAAAAAAGCAAAAACAATTGAGGAACATATTACTAGCTTACTTTCCTTGACAATTTTCAGTCCCAGCCTGCCTCAAATGCACACAGATACAGGAACCATATACCTCAGTCTGAAGATGCAGCTTTCCCCAGTTCTTAAATCAATCCTGGCCATGTCTGTGTGTATATTAGGAGTTCTATTTTCCCAGCGACTGACTCTGCAGGCAGGTATGCAGCATAGGCCTAGTATTAATACCAAGTGATCCTGGACTGGTTCCACATGCTTCTTGAAAGCTGCTCTCCATTCTTATGACTGAATGTTGTTTTCTATGTGTTTGTGCACCAGTTTTCCCCAAGTTGAAGTAGAGGTTACCCCTGATTCTTAGACCATATATTGAAGCCTTCCAGCCAAGTAACATAAATATGCTCCCTTAGAGACTGAACCCTGCTCTCTGGTTCCACTAATGATCTATTTCTTCCAGCGACTCCTTTATATTATTGGTAATTCCCACTAAAACCATTCTAGGTAGATAGGATTGCCCCCTTTTGCAGATATACCACAACTCAGAATCAGAGGTATCTAATGTCTTAGCTCAAGCTAAGTGGCTAAAAAGTAGAAGAGGCAGGTGTCTGTGTTTCCAGAGCTTATGACCTTCCCACCACATTTCATTGCCTCCTCTAGAACTTTGACACTATTCACCCTGCATCCTTAAGGATCTCCTCTTCCAGGCCAGGCGTGGTGGCTCACGCCTGTAATCCTAGCTCTCTGGGAGGCCGAGGCGGGCGGATTGCTCAAGGTCAGGAGTTCGAAACCAGCCTGAGCAAGAGCGAGACCCTGTCTCTACTATAAATAGAAAGAAATTAATTAGTCAACTAATGTATATAGAAACAATTAGCCGGGCATGGTGGTAGTCCCGCTACTCAGGAGGCTGAGGCAGCAGGATCGCTGGAGCCCGGGAGTTTGAGGTTGCTGTGAGCTAGACTGGCGTCACGGAACTCACTCTAGCCTGGGCAACAAAGTGAGACTCTGTCTCAAATAAATAAATAAATAAAAGGGATCTCCTCTTCCAGATGCCAGAGGCATTGCCTCACTCACCCCATGGAACCTTACCTATCAATGCCAGAACTGACTGGAACTGGATTTGGACAACAAAGGAAGAAGCTAACTTTGTCCCACTGTCCCAGCTCCATTAAGAACAGCCTTACTCTCCTTACAGACATTAAGACTTAATTTAGATGATAGTTTTTATGGCAATCCTACAAAGCTTTAGCATCATCCCAAAGGCTTCCTTAATATTTTTTTTTCTGATATGAGAAAAGACAGATGTACAAAAATGCAGGTTCTTAATGACATGTTTTTTATATAGCATAACTAACATAAAACCTATCACATTAATGTTTATTTTAAAGGAGCCTAATTGCATTTCTGAGTTGATCACTAGATTGTACAGAACTGAAATTTGATACAGCTAAGAGTTGGAAAAATTTTACATAATCGCAACTAACTAACTAACTCTTTGTTTGCCCTGAATTGAATTATCTATTGAGGAATGTTGAGTCTTGTTTTTCTTTTTCCCCCTTCTGAAATTTTCAAATAAAACCTATCAAATAAAAACAATTATTGAGAATCTCTGATTGCAAAGTACTAGTCTAAATACAGTATATCCATTTCAAATATACATTAGTGGGTCGGCGCGCGGTGGCTCACGCCTGTAATCCTAGCACTCTGGGAGGCGAGGCGGGTGGATTGCTCCAGGTCAGGAGTTGAAACCAGCCTGCAGCAAGAGCGCGGACCCGTCTCCCTACTATAAATAGAAAGAAATTAATTAGCCAACTATATATACTAGCAAAACATCATGCCGGGCGATGGTGGCGCATGGCCTGTCACAGTCCCAGCCTACTCCGGGAAGGCTGAGGCAGAGGCATCTGCTTGCGAGCCCCATGGAGTTTGAGGTTGCTGTGAGCTAGGCTGATGCTACAGCATTCATCTCTAAGCCTCGGGCAAACAAAGCAGCAAGACTCTGCTCCCTCAAAAAAACAAACAACAAAAAACACCCAACATATACATTAGTGGATTTATACATCTTTTGATTTCTAAACCAGGGGTTCTTGAGACCTATTTTGTTAACTAATAGAAACAATAATATGTGGTGCCCATCTTTCAAATCGATCAACTTCTTTAAAAGAATTGATGAGACTGTCTCCTTGTTTGCTTCAAAGTCCTCCTTTCCAG